AATTTTTACTTTCATAATTTTAGACAAAATGATTACGATGTCAAAGGTCCAAAACCAAAACCATTTTTACGTGCTAATTCATGTGTTGAAGATTTCTACACGGGTAATTTAAAATCTGTATTAGAAAAAGCCACCTTGGCTGACATAGCAGTTGTTATGTTCTATGCACCATGGGATGCTGATTCTATTGATTCCCAAGAAGCATTTATCGAGGCATGTGAAAACAACAAAGACGAAGTAATTAAAATATTTTATTAAAACATTTTATTAAATGTGTGCTTATTCATATTATTAATTTTAGGTATATTTTGCTGCTATTAATTGTTGGCAACCAGAAAGTATTTGCAGTAAAGTACTTAAAGGCAATAAAGTATATCCTATGATAGTTGCTTACGATTACACCAAAGTTGGAATTTATTATTCAGGACCTCCAAACGATGCAGCATATATAACACGTTTTGTAGACACTATGAAGCGCCCAGTAAAATTATTAAACAGCAAATTAGATCTGTTAAAAGTCCATCAGCAGTATCATGTAAGTATTTATCAAAGGTATACATTATCAAAATATATAAGTAGTTCATCGTTTATTATTTTGGTGTCTGTTCATCAGAATGTTTTAGTAGCATCTGTCGATTTTAAAATTACTCAAGGATGGGATATATACAAAATTGTTTTGGATGCAGCAATTAATCATTTAAAAGCAGATCCACTGCAAATTTATGTCAAATGGTGTGTTGCTACTTGGCCATTAAGTAGTAAAGAACCATTGATTAAGTTACTTCTATGGAACCACACATTGGTGAATATACTAAATAACATTTAAAACTTAGAGAAAATATGTATAAAATTGTTTTAAATAAAATGTAAATTGTTTTCAAATTTGTCAAGGCTTTTAACGAATCATTTGTTAATCATGAAACACTTGGAAAATGGGTATTACAAGAGACCAGATTAACAACTCAATGGGCACCTTCTATTGCACGTAGCAGATCTCTTATACTGGATAATAGTTTTAAAAATGGACCTACTATGTTATTGTTTACACCACACAATCCTTATTTGGATTTTAACCCAATTTATGCAATGGTAATCCCTAATTAATATTGATTTAATAGTGTTTAATTTTAAAACAAATATTGTGTTTTAGCTTCAATTACTAAGTATTGAATACTTCAACTGTCAAACGGTTTCTATTCCAGCAAAGTATATTGCAAAATATTTGATAAAAGAAATAAAATGTATGTAAATAATCCTATTACTTAAACTTTAAAATATTATCTTAGGTTAACAATGTTATTTATTTTTTAGCATTTTATGATGAGCGGCCAAAATATGTAAAACAATGTCATGAATTAATAATGAATAAGTATCCTGATAAGATGGCTAGTATTCTTAAAAAACATAATTCCACAATAAAAGGAGAAAATCAAGATAGTTTTGATTTAGACACAAACATGGAAATTAATTATCTTAATAAAGCTCTATGTAAAATGTCTAAAAGTATATTTTTTGACCACAAAATAAGTTATTGTTCAAATGATTTGGATAAGTCTAGTAAGAAAATGTAAGATATTCTATTTTATAATATAGACAATCACCTTTAATCTTTATATTTGATTAGAATTAAAATTAACTTATCAAATCATGTGAGTACAGAACAATTTGTGGAAAAATTGAAAGAAACTGAATGTTACAGAAGTTTACTTGCTAACAAATATTTTAGGCAAGTATAATGCTCACGATAATATTATACATTTTTATATGAGTGTTTGATTATAATTTTAAATTGTTAAAATACATTTCTGTTTTAATTTACTTTATATGCATTTATTTATAGATTTTCTAAACCCGATGAAGCTTTTACATATAACACTACTGACGCATTAAGATCAGCTTGTTTAGCAAACAAAAGTATGACATTTCTAGCTTTGGATTCAAATCATCATTATCATACTGCAAAAGTTTTTGGCATAAACTTAAACCACTATCGAGAAAGAACTGCAGTTGTGATTTATGATATGAAGGTATTGTTGAGTATAATTATATTTACTATTAGTTTGTGCTTAAAATAGGATTCACCATTGCAGTTCATCAACGTACAATTTTTCTAAACGATATAATCTATACCCTTATATTGATTATATCTCATTTACAGTTGAACTAAATGTTAGGGTTTCGTCGAAGTTTTTCATAATTAAAAGATAATTCATGTTTTTTCTTATGTGGAATGCGATTCAATATTTTATGATATGCTTAATGATTTCTTCTTTATATTTATTTTATGAATAGTTAAATTATAGTTATTGTTTTTAAATTAAGATAATTACTATAGCCATATAGGTGTATGCTTTTTGGAGGTTTCTTTTTTGAAAAAAATTATAAAAACACCCACTAATTGAAGGTTTAGTGTAGATAAAAAAAAAGTTAATATAATTAAAAGCTTAAAAGAGAGATGTATTGGTTTTTTAGTAGCATTTTATTATTATTTCTTTGCGAGCCTTTTTTTGGTTGGAAACCATAACAATTTTTATACCTTTATAGATTGAAATTTGTATGGTTTATTAATAATTTCTTTTAGGAATGAGGAAGACCAAAAAATAATAAATCGTCAACCATTTTAAAATTAATTTCAGCAACTGTGTCTTGCAAGCTAGGTTCTATATTCAGCATTTCTCTCAAATTTCGTATTACAACATACCCAAATATTGTGTGAATGTGATTGAAACTTATCATTTATCAAGTGTCTTATATATTAAGTCCCACTTTTATTGTATTCTTCTTCCTTCACAACATGTGGTAGTTTGGATTTTAATAAAGAACATAGTTGATGAAGTCTGTATAGTGATTTTCTTTTTGTTTTAATGTGACTGTTATCCAGTGGGGATACTTCAGACCATGCCTTACCACAAAGACTTTAATAGATTAAAATAATGATCTATATACAGAAAACTTATGGAGCAATATGATGTATGGGACGTAGGTTTGTTTTTCTTCAAAATTCGAACTATGATTACTCCCATATTGAGACAAATAAGAGAACTAAACCTCAGAATAGCTTTATAAGTGTGTATTTAAAATAATATGTCCTTTCTAGTAGGTTTTTTTATTATAAGATTGGTTATGTCTGGAGTGCTTTATTGTTAAATAATTTTTATAATAAAAAAAATTATGTTTAAATAATGAAAGACACTGGGATAGGTTGATTTATTAAGTTTTATTTTAATTGGGAATGTTTGTTGTCATTTATGTGAGTGTGTGGTTGGAAGTTTTTACACATACTTATCAGATAAGAATTTTTTCCATTGCATATAGTTACAAAATTAATTGTATAGTATTCCTATATGGAGGCATCATTTGACAATGATTTTAATATTTCTTTGTATCTATCAACATTAAGTTTTTATCTTTTAAAGAGGCTATGATATAAGCTTGATATTTACCAGTTTTTTTTTATAATAATAGAACTGCAGGACATTTCTTAGAAATTGTAAATTAAGTATAATAAACCTTTATCAATTTATTTCAGTATAAATTAAAAAATTAAAATTCAAGTAATAATTTTTATGTTTATAATCCTATAATAATATTACGTTTATTACTTTCAAATCAATATTCTGAACTAAGCAATTTAATTACATTTATAGTAAGACTGAGACAAGACATGCGGGTTTGACATCCTCGTACATGTGTTATACTTTATATCTTGTTTTTCACTCATAAATGCTTCTTTATTTTAACTAAAATACATTAAATTTTACTAGTTTCCAATGTTTATGTTTTTTTTCTAGTCTGAAATGGTTCATACATTACCAAAATCTAGTCATGTTACAAAAGATACAATGACTAAATTACTGATAGATTTTCTTGAAAATCGAGCAAAACGACATTTACGATCATCAGCTGATCTTGATATTAACTTTCATTTGTATCGAGGGAAAGGAAAAGGCAAAGAAACAGTCTACATTGAAACATTAAATTCCGAAACATTTAATGAAGCCGTTTTTAACAACACCAACGTAATGTTTACCAATTGTAAATATTCAAATAAATTGTAATGTCTTTTTTTATTATAGAATGTTGTAGTATACTTTTACACTCCATTTTGTGCGTATTGTCAAGTTGTTGCACATGTGCTGTTAAGTGTTGCTCGTTTAATGCGAAATGTCAAAGATCTCAAATTTTTTCGCTTCAATGCTAGCGACAATGATTTAAGTTGGCATTTGACTGTACAAACATATCCTTCAATTATAATTTTTCCCGCTAGAAAGTAATTATAATTTTTATAAAAAAAACTATTTAACTTATTGTACTTTTACTTTTTGGTTTATATAGGAAAGCTGAAAGTTATGTATTTCCATATATCACTGAGTTAACGTCCAATAATTTGTCTCAGTTCATTCTATCTAATCTACAACTGGAGACTCGGTTACAAGCCATGGTTGGTCTATGTACAGTATGGGATTCTTCTGAGGTAGTATTAAAGTAATTAATTTTTATGTATACAATACGTAATATATAATTTATGTTTTTAGGATTACAACAAACAACTACATTATTGTCTTCGAGATATTAAACTTGACTGCGATGCAAACATATCAAAAACACTTCAATCATACCGCAGAGGTCTTGTTTACAGAGAAAAAAATAAAAACATTACATTAACTCCTATCTTTAATAGACTGAGGTATTTAAAAGCTTTCAGTCTCATTTTAGATGTAACTCATAAACTAAATTCCAAATCAATGCAAAAATTTTCTGAAATTTATAACTTTTAGTTGTTTCAGTCCTAGCTGTAAGTATACAATTTAGTATACCTATTGTGATTCTAAACTTTGATTATTGTTAATTTATAACTCTGAAGCACTTGTTACATTCATAAAATTTACATTTCTTGTGTGTTATAGGTTTAATTGATAACAAACTCTGTGATAATGTTAAATGATAAAAAAATTATTTATTTTATTGAATTAAAGTTGACAAATTGGATTTTCAGTTCATTTTTTTTTTTTTTTTACTTTTTTCTTTGGTGTGCCAATGCATGTTTTTAGTATTGTGGTGCTGGTTTTTGTGTAGGCAGAAGTCCAAATCTTTCCTTAATACGAATCCTCTCTTTAGAATGTTGATCAGTTGGAGTAAATCGAGCTACAAATAATTTTAATCTTCATTAAATATGATTCAAAATAATGAAAAAAATTAATAATAGTAGTTTTACCTGGATGAGCACTTAAAGTTTGGTTGCCAGAAGGATCAATTTTCTATTCATAAATGGAAACATAACATATTAATATTAATTGTAGGATTAATTTATAACAAATATTAGCAGGCCTTGTTTTATAAGAATTAAAAGTCTTTAGATTTGTCGATTGAAAAATGTAGGTAGTATAATTTAAATTATTTGTAACCATAAGGTTTGAAGAAAATAGTTAAACATATTATTTTCAATTACATGCAGTCGTCAGACTAAACATTTAAATGTAAACAAATACAAGCAATTACAAGTGACAGAAACGTTTACGTTACCTTTAAAGTGTAAACCCGAGTGCCATCTTCACCGCGATAATATCTTAAAAGCATTTTCAATTTTTTTACCGTAAAAAAAATACTAAAGCACAGAAATTTGTTTTGTTTAATGTCTACTTGATCCTTTATCAAGACAGAAGCTCAAGCACGTGGTCAATGAAGAGTAGTTGTCTTTTAATCAGCGGTGGGCAGAATACGTCCTATCACAGTATCACAGAACTGTGAAATTCTGTGGTCCTTTTTCCTCAACAGTATATTTTGTGTATAGTAAATAATTACAACAGTTGGTATAGAAAACGCGGGCAATACAGTGTGACCAACATATGGCATAACACCAAAGGTTCTACCAACAACTATTTTAACCGGTTACTAAAAAAATAATAAAAGTTTTTAGTTTTACCCATGGCTAAATATTTATTGATTAGTGGGACACTGTTTAAAATTTCTAAAAATTGTTCTTTTTTTCCGTGTTCTTTTTTTCCTTGGTCTTTTTTTCCTAGATTCCAGTTACCTATGCCGTGTGCCCGTGCCCTACGTTATTAAAAATTTTTCTGAATTGACAACAATAACAATTGCAATAACGATTTCATTGGATTTTAATTATATACGTTTAGTCTTACAAGATTCTTAGAAGAACATGTAACAAGTTGGAAAAAAATGTTTTGTTTTCGATCATTATTAATGAATTGGGACATTTTAGTCTTTTATCGGGACATCGGAACAGTGATCTAAATATCGGTGATATTACCGATATATCGGGACGGATGTCAACTCTAATCTTGTCTCGTTTTCTGATAAAGCTTATATTAATCATGGATTAATACTAAATTGTTCTTAAAACTAAAAAAAAAAATTAAAAATCATGAGGTTAAGGATGTATGAAAATAGAATGTTTTATTCACTAAACAAACAATTTTAAAATTTAATATTTAAATACTTTTTTCTCGTTAAGAAATTTGCCTTTTTATTGTTGTCAAGTTAAAATTTATTTCTATATTATTATGGAGATACAATAACTAGGTTACTATTTGGTAGTGAGTCGTATAATTTCGCTATATGTATATTGTATATGCATTAGGGTGGTCCTTATTTTTCAACTTTCAAAATTTCGAGTCAGGTACCCACCATTTTGTTCATTACAATGAGTAAGTTATTTGGGCTAAATTTGGTCATGATGACTCACCCCCTTCTCGTTCCCCAAGCGGGTTGAAATTTTGCTATAGAGGGTAGTTTTGTAGTTTTTTTAATTTAACTCAAAAACTATAGTACTTAGCGAAAAAAATGGATAGAAGGTAAAATTAAATTAGCCAAAATGTTTAATTGTCTGTTATTCACTGAGTGTACAGCGGTGTGATTGTAGTAGTGTTATTCTAAAATATTGTTTAGTATTATTTTTACATTTAGTATAAATTTTAATTTACATATTTAATTATGTCAAGACAGTTAATTTTCTTGGTTGGTGTGATGAAAAATCAAATAACCGGTAGTTATAATAGCTTCCATCAAAAAGAGATATTTTGAGCCTTCTTTTTTACAATATGCGTACAGTCAAACATTAGTATGTTAATTACACGATAGCCCTAGTCTTGTGTTTGATGAATGTCAAATGTTATGGATAAAAGTACGTATACCTCGTATACCACGTATTCAAGATCGATCAAATTGCGTAACAAAAATTAAAAAACTATGACGAATTGAGAAATTAAATAAAAATAAAAATAAAAATAAAAATAGAAAAACGGATAGTTTCGAGAAAAGTGTCGTGAACAATTATCCGAAGCTATAAAATCTAATTTTTTAAATTTAAATCACCAATACTGCGTTGTGCATTGGGATTCAAAATTACTACCCAAATAAGATCAGCAATAGATCGTCCTCCTGTGATTGTTACAGCTCCTAATGTTGAACAATTATTAGGAGTTCCACAATTATCATCTGGGAAAGGGAACGAAATATGTTCAGGGTTCAGCTGTATAATATAATACTTTAAACGATTGGTGTCTATTAGATCAAGTAGAAGCTTTTGTATATGACACTACTGCATCAAATAGTGGCCGTCTAAACGGTGCATGCATTCTTCTCGAAAAGAAGTTAAACAGAAATATTCTATTTTCTGCTTGTCGTCACCATATTTTTGAAATTGTTTTACAAGCTGTTTTTGTTACATCGAAACTGTTATGTCTGGACCTGATATTACATTGTTAAAACGATTTAAAAATAACTGGGTGAATTTAGATTTACGTAATTTTCATACATGGACATTGCACCCAGAAATATATTTTGTAGAATTAAAATATGTAGTAGAAGATGTTTTATTATTTTGTACAAAAACAATCGAAGATAAATCCAAGAGATGACTATAAAGAATTTATAGAAATTGTTATATTTTTGGGGAAAACACCTCCACGAGGTATACATTTTCGACCACCTAGCTGTTGTTTACCATTTAGCTCGATGGATGGCAAAAAGAAAATATATTGTTTTAAAATGTTGTTTTTCTATCAGCAGTTTAAGCTCTCGATAAATGAAAAAAGAGGTAAGAATTATGTTGTTTCATTGTAAAATGTTATTTAGAGGCATGGATATATGCTCCCGATCCAATAATAGCTCCACTCAATGATATAATTTTTTTTTTAAATTAGTTGATTATACAAAACATAATAAAAAAAATAGGGGAAGTAGCAATAAAAAAATGTATCAAACCAATTGTGGTACTTAAATAATGAATGTGCAGTATATTCTTTATTTGATGATCGCATTGATTATAATACTAAATCTAAAATGGCCATAAACGGGTATTGGAAACAAATGAAGAAGAAATCAATGCTGACTCTCGAAAAAAAAATTGCTCTACAATTCGATGACCTTCAACATTTTGTATGTAAAAATCTTCCATTTGAATTAATATCAAGGTAAATCGATACAGTTTTTTTCAAAGATTTCGTATTTCTTCGGATTTTTTACATAAGGATCTAAGTTTATGGAAAATAACCACCGAATATAAAGAAGCAAAGGATATTATAGCTGCATTAAAAGTTGTCAATGATAGTGCAGAAAGAGGAGTGAAATTGATGGAGGAGTTCAACGAAAAATTTACGAAACAGGAGGAACAGAAACAATCCGTGTTACAGGTAATTTTTTAGTATTTTTTGTTCATGGAGCAATTAGGAATTTATTAACATTTTTATTTTTTAAATATTTTATACCATTTCTTTATGCATTTCAAATACATAATATTTAATTCATTTAAAAAGTTTAACAATAGTGTGCACATCTATAGATTAGTTAGGTGAAAAAATTATACATTTTTCCACCATTGAGAACTGAGTTCCTAAAGCAGGTGTGCTCAACTCTCGGCCGGCTGAAGTATTTAAACTGGCCCGTGACAATTTTATAGAATCAGACATTTGTATAGGTAGTATAAACAAAAATTAAAGTTACAATTTTAAAAAAAAAAATATTTTAATGAGCTTTTAAGAATTCCAAGATATCTCACAATTTTTAACTAGCAATTTCTATTGGCAAAACAAATTGTTAACTAGCGTAGTAGCATGGCAATATTTATCATTAGTACTTTTAACAGTTCAAACTCTCTTAATGAATAAAAATAATACTATTAAAGTAGTAATTATAATTTATTAATAATTCGATGAGCGAATAAAGATAATATTATATTTATTGCATACATCAGAATTCACCAAAAAACCGTTTAGTGTATTGTACGGCCTGCAGTATAAATATAAGTTCCGAATGTGGCCCTCAAGTTGAAAAAAGTTGGGCACGCCTACTATACTACTGGAACCATAAAATATGCTGTTTATGCATTATGCGTTTATAGTTTATTTTTTCTTACCCTAAAAAATGTTAAAACTGGTGTTATTTATGTTACCTATTCTATAAAAATTTTAAGTGTCAAAATCCATTAATCAAAATAAACCTAAAATGATTAACTTTGAACTATTTGTATATGCATATAACATATACGTAGTTACAGGATAAATTGTGTCAACTCTCCCGAGTCTGTAATAACTTCGTTTGTACATTAAAATATTATATATAATACTTTATTATGAAAATAAGTACTTAGGTCTATACAATTGCAATACGAGAATTGCTATATTGTGTTAAATAGATAATTTTGCAATTATTACATACAATTAAAAAGTCAATCCACAATAAAGCACTAGTACACAATGGAAACAAAATTGAGCAAACTGTTATAAATCAGGTCCAAAAATATCAATATACTATGCAGTAGGTACATGTACGGCTATACAAATACGGCTGCACTTACTGACGATGGTCACAATATATTATTTTAATACATGTCTTTAGTTATGACTATAATATCAAACACCAAGACAAACTATGGTTCATGTGGAGAATCTCGACAAAATATTTACAAAATATGAGCATATTAAATCTTGTTTTCATTCTAAACTTTTTCACATTTACTGAATTACTACTACCGCATTTTAAATAGCCGCGATCTGCATTTTAATTAAATATATTAGGCATTATAGAATAGATTATTAGAATCTTCGCATTTTAATTGTTTTACATAATATATTCAACAGTGGATTGAATAAACATGTGTTCTGTTTATAACTAATTTTTAATTTTTTTTAAATAACAATATAAAACACATTTTTACACAATGAAATACTGAATACATACAATAACTTGATACATCATAATTTATATAATATGTACTGACAAGAACGGTTGGCGGTTAAACAAAACAAAAGTCGCGAGGAGAGCCAAATAACGTTGCCGACGGTAAGCGACGGACGTAAGTACAAAACCCCCCGAAAAATGGGGCAGAGTCAAAGGGTCCGCTAAGTCAAACGAGTGGGCTCGTTTTGCACAACTTGGACCACGTATAACACATCTACACAGTACACGAATATCGTGGACGCTAGTGGAGATCATATTATATTTTATATTGTAGAGTTGTCAACTCAAATTGCCACTTTTGGCTAACCGTACATGTAAACGAATTATTATTGAACCATATATTGAGGTGTAAGAATATTACAATCGTCATTTTAAATACACATATGTAATGTGGCTGAAAATTAATTAGCCATGTACCTATTTTATTTTCAATATTCAACAATATTATAATATTATATTTCGTTGTCATGGATATGTACATTCGTTTGAATGTTTATTTATACGTCTTATAACAAATTTTGTTTCAGTCTATTACGAGGCATTACCCAAACTATTTTTTGTCTCATAAATTATTTAAATAATTTAACTCAATTATAATATCTTGAAATTCAATTTCTGAATTTTTAAACAAAACCATCATGGAAAGTTTCACAGAAGCAGACCATATTACAACGCCTGAACAATTGGATGTTCCGGCTGTTGCAGGGAGTTTGCAGCAATGCGAGCATAGCTCCCGCCATAGCGGATGCAGTATTTTGTCGGAAGACAAAGAGCACAGGGTGGACGACCCTACACTGGCCACGAGGTTTACTATTGTATGTGATATCAGTGAGCTCAGTGGCCAACAACCAACGACGATGTTGACTTCGGCAGATTTAAAAGTGTTGGACCAGGTGGCCGAGGACTTACTGAAAGCCGCTGTTCAGAGGTCATTGAACTTACCACCCATCTCTCTGGGTCCGAGTGACGAGCGGCCGTCGTCTGTTTCAAGCGGTGATAGCAGTGTTGCATCACAACAACCGGAGGCGCCGAGGATTTGTGTACCGAGCGTGTTGGACAAGTTGCTGGAGTTTGACGAAGTCGCGTCAGAAATCCGAAACGCCAACACGAAGTACGGTAAGCACCTTCCGCCGTTACCGCGGTGTTTTAGCAGTGCGCCGGAAGTCGAACACTTGCCACCGATAGCACGGCATTCTGAAGACGGTGATTGTGTGGCACCTAGTCTTTTGGGCAATAACGTGCAACAAACAACAACGGTGAACAACCAGCTGCCGTCGGACGTAGATTGCGAGCCGGACGTCCTGGAGGTCAAGAGCGTGATTCAGACAGAAGAATATGAGGAGGCAGTTCAAAGCACGGCCATAGACGAAGCAAAATGTGACGGTGATTGCGCGGCACCTAGTCTTTTGGCCAATAGCGTGCAACAAACAACAACGGTGAACAACCAGCTGCCGTCGGACGTAGATTGCGAGCCGGACGTCCTAGAGGTCAAGAGCGTGACTCAGTCAGATGAAATTGAGAAGACAGTTCAAAGCACGGCTATAGACGTAGTAAAAAGTGAGGGCGACGAGCTTGAACCGTCAATGACCACGGCCACGGTAAAGTCAGCAGCAGCAGCAGCAGTAGCAGCAGAACAACCGCTGCTAGATCGTCGCAGGCCGCCCATCATGTCAGCACTGGGGAACCGACTACTCAAGGTCGGCAGATTGTTGTTCTGCTGTTGTTGTCGTCCGAATAATAATGATTAGAGTGGTACTCTGGTACAGCGATGTGGCGTGGCGCCGTTAAATAATTGAGAGATGCTGTCTGGTGACACATTGATCAACGATGTTTTTTGGGCACCGTCTTGCCGCCATTCGCTCACGTCGCTGCGGGCATCGAACCTTCACGAAGTCCGACCCAGTCCACTCCCGCCCTTTACAATCCCGTGTGCCCTCGATAGCCACCTTAAGTCACATCCGGTCATCCGGTTTTTCGAGCACCCTTGTGCCTCGTCGCATTTTTTTTTACATTTTTCTTTTAGTTTTGTACCGACGTCCGTCGTTTTCCGCTGACAACCTTTCAGTTGGCCCTCAGGATTTTGGTTTTTTTGTTTTCCCGTTAACCATTCCTGCGGGTACCTATATACATTAAGATGTATTCAATATATATATATAATATTATTTTTTTTTTTTATAATTTTTTAAAATATTTTTTTGTTTATTATATCATACATATATTACTATGTATTCAGTATTTCTTTGTGTAAAAATATGTTTCACACTGTTAATTTGAAAAATAAAAATTTGTTATTTACAGAACACTTGTTTATTCAATTTACTGGTGTATGTATTATATAAAACAATTAAAATACGACGATTCTAATAATCTATTATACCTATAATACCTAAAATATTTAATTAAAATACAATAGCGGAATTGTAGTAAATTTAAAAAAAATTTAGAATGAAACCAAAATTTGATGTGCTCATATTATGTTGATATTTTTGACATGAACCATTATAGTTAGTTTTGATACGAGTGTTAATTTATAAGTGTTTGTTATTGTAATCATAACTATAGGCATATATGAAAACAATATATATTGTGGTCGCCGTTAGTAAGTGTGGTCGTAATTGTATAGCCTTACAGGTACTTCATAATATATTGATATTTTTGGACCTAATTTATAATAGTTTGCTCAATCTTGTTTATATTGTGTACTTGTGCTTTATTGTGGATTGATTTATTTAATTTTATGTAATGATTGCAAATGTATTAATAGTATCTTCCATTTAAACATTAATATTTTGTCAAGTCTTTTTCTATATTTATTATTTGGGATATCTAAACTATGCTAAATCGTATATGAAAATATTCCACAAGTTCTCTTATGTAACATTAATTCAATTTGTAAAAGTTTGATACAAAACAGAAAATTGTATATAAAATGAATGTGACGGCAAATGTTTTAATATCTAATTATTTCGGGGACTGATAAATAAAACTAACCTGAAACAGTAGCGGCCAAGTCTTGATTTTCGAAATCTTGCAATACCCGTTCAAATTTCGTCGTCTTCGTTGACTATTACATTCGAGCCTACAGCAGAACAGTTTTTTAATTCTACTTTTTGGGATTGTCATAGTTGCGTTAGTGGTCTGTTTTTTGCACAGAAAATTAAAAACCAGATAGCTGTTCCAATATAACTTTATATTGTAGCTACCTAATCCTTTAAAATACATAATATGCATTTATACCCTATAGTGGTTTACGCACGAATACCCGATGTATGTCAGTACCTAACAAAAGATTTAATAATGATATTATTTAGATATTTAAATTTTGCTCTCCGCATATTGTGTTGACTTTATAACGGTGAATTCATTTTTAATTTCACTGTATACATACCTAGTGTATTCTCTTTGTGGGCGAATCCAAAGGTTTATTATTGTAACAGATGTTATTATTGGATATTTCATAAAAAATGTAGTGCAATCAACTATTGAACCATAAATAAGTATAGATTGATGTTTCTTAAGTTCTACAAAGCAGGTACACAATTTCCGACATCGTAATAAAACTAACAGAGAATGTAAGTATACGGAAGAATAACAATATTTACAAACAGATGTATAATAATCATATTTATATTTATATACTTTAATAATAGTAAATGCAATACACTTTCATATAAATAACCGTCACTTTACGTAAATAATGTAATATGATATACTTTGTATTCCCTTATTAGTATGGCACAGGTAAAACTTTTCAACAAAAAAAATACATTTTTTTAGACTTTTTTTTACAGTTTTGAACCGACGACGCCGCGGGAACTGCTTTCGAATTGCTTCCGCGACGCCACCATAAATTATACTTAAATACTTAAGTGATGACTTAACACATTTAAAAAAATGTCATGTATTAATAATTTGAAGATTGAGCATGACCATTATTTACAATTACATAAGTAAAATATAAATTAACAATACATTTTATAAAGTAAAATATTTCAAAATATAATAATAACACATATATGTATGTATGTAAGTAGATTAATAATATTATCATATGTGTTTGAGACTTAATAACAACACTAGTTATATAATGATCATAAATATTATAAATTATAATTCAACTTAATGTATATTTTATAAATCGTAAAAATGTTATGCTTATATATATGAACATATTAAACTTAAAACACTAATTTATAAACAGTATAAAAACCATTGAAGGATCCTGGATGTGTCAATTTATAAGAAATATTTGAACAAACAACAATAATTTGTTTTACAATATGCAATATAGTCCATTGGTCATTTTTTAACAATTCATAGAATCATAGCGTAGATAATTTTGTAGAATTTTTAAATTTTTAAATATAACATCACATACTTGTGTGTGATTGGAAAATATTGGAAAAAATGTATAGCACATATTATAAAATACACAAATGCCGGATGAGCATTTAGTTTCATTGAATTTGTGTGTAAATGTGTTTTTATTATTCATTGGTCAGATATGTACGATTTTTACATCGAAAGGTCTTTATTATTCTTATTAATTTCTCAAGATATTTTTAATTACTTATAAGTAAACAGTGATGTCTGATTGATGTCTCCAACAATCAAGGTTCAAAAATTATAATATATTTTAATGTATAAAAATAATAATAAATTAAAGATAAGTATTCTGAAATACCTAAACTGTCCATAAATAAATGGTAATTCATTAACGTATTACCTACGTAAGAAAGGATACATCTGTCTCCTGTTCAAAGCTATTATATAATTTATTAAAAAATATAGATTACACTTAGACAGATACTTGGACAGATAAGATAAGGATATAAGGCCCATATCTATGCTTATTATTTTTATTGTTCACACATTTTATAGTTATATATTTTATCATTTTATATTGTTCAGTAAAAATTGTTCAGTTACAGCCTTAATCTTAATATAAAATATTTGTTTTTATTTATTGAGTACTAAGAAAATTAAGTTCGTACTATTCGTCACTTTCATCATCAGTACTATCATTATTACCTCTCCATTCTTCGTCCCAGTCTTCGAGAAAATTTTCTTCCTTCAAATATTGATACCATTCGACGTGTGGTAAATTACCATCGAAATTGTATACATTTATATATTCAAGAAGGTCATTTCCTCTACGTTTTAAACATTCTGGTGGCGGCGTACTTTGATGAAATTTTAGGCGCAGTACCTTATCTAAAGTGAACTGTTCAATTCACAAAACAAAAATGTATGAGATAAATAAATTAATATTGTGAAATCCATATTTATAGAGGTAAATCAAAATGTTGTAAATTTCAATATAAAAACAAACGAGAAATCAAGCAAAAAGCAGTTCGAAATGCAATAAATAGTCCCAGTAGCAAACTACTCTCCCTTATATCACCAGTTAATATACAAAAAAATGTTGACAAATACTGTATGAAATTATGGGACTCAAAATGGCTCCAAGCAACTGAAAATAAATTAAGGGCAGTTAAACCTCATTCCAACCGGAGTTGCCCGATTGGGGCCCGAATACAGGTACCTAGTCGTATTTTATCCCAAATATAAGTATCCCGATTGCTGCTCGTCCAAACACACATTGGTTCACAAAATAGCTTATAATTAATAAAATTAAGCATTTTGTATTAGACATATTTGTATATGCAACTCAAATACAATGTCTCGTTTATGATTATTATCATAAATATATGAATAAATACACAAATATTTTTTACAAGACTATAAATAGTATATGTTAATCAAATATTCAAATGATTGTTTATGATAAAAAAAAAAAATAGGAAATACAATTAATAATATATTAATAAATAGTCAAATAGTATAATAATTTTAGTGTTAAATTAAAGTGTAATATTTTCCACCACTTGCAATCTTACCTTTTATCTGATTTTTTTTATCTTTAATGGACCAGATATTATCACACCAAATATTGGTGATCGCGGGAATCGTGAATACGATTAGTTACATATTTTTTGTCAAAATACGTATCGGACGTAATCGGGATATTTATTTCGTTTTGATAACCACTGTATAGGTAGTTTCCTACCTAATGTGTACGGGCGGCAATTGGGATGGGTGAAAAGGTAAAAAGGTTACTTTGGGCCGCAATTGGGCGACACCCATTCCAACTCTGGCTAAAACCTAATCATTTAAGCCGATCAGAAGAGGTCATACTAAACAGACTTATAGCGAATTGGCCACACGATAATCACTCGCGGATACCTGGTGGAAAAAACCGAACAGACGACATGTCCTTCTAGCAACTCAATCCACCCATTGTCATATTCTCACAGAGGCCAGAGAAGAATTTAAAATCCTCCCAAATAATCACTACAAAGCTACAAGACTCCAAACTGGCACAGAAAAAATAATTACCTTTAAAAAAAAATGTTAATGTACAAATATAATTTTAGTTCATTGTAAACATCTCTCTATGTACATAATAATTTTAACATAAACTAAAATTATACGTTATACAACAAGTAGTTGAAACTGTAACAAAAAAAAAAAATTAAATTAAGTTTGCTCTGTCGTATAGTAGGAGTCGAGCTGAGCACCCCCGATGTCGAGTGTATCTCGCCATTGAGTATGTCACCGACTATAGCTGTAATGAATATGTTAAATTTGAATTCAATGTCAAATTATTATATACGAAAAAGACGATTTTGAGAGGAGACGGCCTTTCTGTTAGCTTATATTATTATGTTTTCTACAAAATAATTCATGATTTTGTTCGAGTTATTTTGTATATCATATACTATTATATATTATATTATTTTATACTATTTTCGTTAGTTTTCAGCAAATAAAATGAGGATAGCGTGATTTTATACACATTTGTAAAATTAAAATTAATATTAATCAATCTGTATCATATATCCAGTCAGGCAATAGTAGTATGTAGTAGCATGCAGTATTTTAATAAAATTACCAGATTGGTAGTATGTTTTCTTGGTCTCACATTTGTTATTATCTTCTTCAATGAATCTCCGTATTTAAAATGAAAATGATTGAATACTTTCTTGAAACAATGCATACCTAAATAATCAACATAACCATTTTAAATTTTATATATAATATAAATAGTATAATTGTTTGTATATTTTTAAATCGTTTTAAATCAGCTTGAACTCACAATGAGGATTAGTATAAATGAGTGGTTCTGTTTTAGTTTCTTTAAGGAGACAATCTTCCAACATGAATATTAGCCTAACATGTTTCAACAATCCTGGCAATAAATGTTTTCGTTCAGCTTCATCATGTTTTATCCATTTTATAACAGCTCTGTACACCTGAACATTTTTTAGTTTTTCCTCACCATTAAATTGCTTATGTATGATGGTAATAATAGTGTACAAGCTTAATAATATTGTCATTGGCTGCACTTGGTGGAAATTTAAGGGGTCATACATTTACCATGGCATATGTGCTTTGAGCTCCATCACCCACACACTTTTTCTTTATTCCAAGCTTTACATTTTTTCAATAAAGATAAGTACTAAATATGATTATCGCTCTTCAAATATTATTCTATACAATTTTATGAGAGTTAAAAATGTTTTATTTTTATTTGATAACATTTTCAATAGTAAATATACCCGGCTTTAAGAAAATAGTACCTAATGAAAATGTTAATTGTTATAGACGAAATTGATGATTTTGCATCTAGAGGTTATCATTGGAAGGGGGGGGAGTACCTCCACACCAGTACCACATATGCCACCTATGAAATATTATACTGCTTTGTTTCGATATAAGTTTACTAACTGCTTCTTCTTCTTTACAGTTCAAATCATCGTTCTTCAACAATTCCGTTAAATGTTTGACGTCTGCATCCAAAAAAGACTGATGTTGGACTACATCGCTATGAAATAAATTTAAATTATTATTTTTAAATTGTATATATCAATAGAAATATATAATAAAATAATTAAGGCACGGCTGCAGGGATAAAATGCAGTAATAAATTGATTTGATTAATTTAACATTGTTTTTTCGTAACTTATCTCATCAATTTGAATTTTTTAAGATTTCTGAATTTTAGTGCATTTTTGAGATTTATCCTAAGTGATATTTCATGTATTGTACAAACTATACATATAGACAAGGACATTCAAAACGTATCCTTGTATGATCGATTTTCTCGCTGTTACGTCGAATACTTAGGAACAAGTAATAATCTCAATACATATTAGGTATGCCTACAAATCGAGATGAAGATGGACCAAAACATTTTTCTTCTTACCTGCATTGATGTTTAACATGATAAATGATTTCGTGATTAAAAATCTATTGTTAAAACTCTGTTTAGTCTCACGTTTTGAATATTTTTGGCATTTACAACTCATATTAAATCGACTTTTGAGATAATATTATTCCAGGCCCTAAATTTACAATACAAAGATGATACACCAACTGACTTAAAGTATTGTAGAGCATAATTGAAACATTCTTCCGACAATTTAGTCATTCCTCTTATATCAGCAATTTCTTTAATCGTCAAACAATTTTCGTCACTCAACGACCGCTTATAGTATGAAATGCATTCATCTCGAACATCGTTCATTAGGAACAATTCAGCTCCGAACAACATTTCCTTTAAAAATAAAATGTATAGGATTAAGCATTTACCCTGTATTAGAATAAATTATATTCATATTGATATAAGATAAATAAAAATCATTACATCAATGTTATCCTGATTGATCTGCACCAATACACCAGTATACATGAAATCAATTAAATTTTGCAAGACTTCACTGCTAATATCTTTAATTTGGATAACATCTTGAGTGGTCTCTTGGAATCTCCCAATGAACATTTTTTCAAAATATTCACTATTGGATACCAGCACGCATTTGTGAGCACGTATTTCGTTTCCGTCTGTTGACTTTAAAGTAATATCATATAATGTACCATCTCTAAACAAACAAATCATCATGTCATAAAAGTCTAATTAATATTTTACTTCCACGTTATCTTATACTTGCGATATGCGTCTAGTTTTGCATATGATGATTCATGGCGACTATGCTTGTACTGACTCAAATCCATATCTTCCGTTGGTGTAGTCATTTTATAAAATGTTTTGGTTTCCAAGTATTACCTAAAAAGTTTATCATTTAATAGTTGTATAATGTCTATTGGAAATTTGGCATCTTGTAGATGCTTAAGGTTTTTGAAGTAGCCAAATTTGTTTTTCCATATTTATAGAAAAAAAACTCATTCAAATCAAAAATTGAAAATGTCTGCAAGTAGCTCAAAAAGAGTCAAAATATGTTGTCATGTTTAGAGAAAATGATAAGATAAAAAAAATTAAAAGGTAAAAATGTCAAGTATTTACGGTATTCGCACTTGAGTGGCACTACCTACATTTGAATACGTGAGAAGCACACTATTTGATGCATTGGATAGGTCGCGTCCTAAACAATTTATATAATATAAATGCATATTATATTATGGAAAGTACCTAATTCATTTTTTCAAAAAAATCATTTAGAGTCCTACAGGCTTATTAAATTTTATTTGTATAGGGATAGTTATACTGTTCTATGATTATACTCCTGGTGTACATTGCGTCATCTTAGAGCTGTATATAGGTTATCGCGGTTCTTATCGCATATCAGATAAACAGATGTTTGAACGTTGGACCACCGAATACAATAATCGATTGGACACTCTCAAGGAGCTAACATAATATTGTTCTATGATAATAATATGTCTTTTGTAACTTACACATTATAATATGAATTATTACATGCAATGCATTATTCTGAGACCAAAACTAAGCAATGAACCGTATGGGATACAAAATGTATTATACGTACAATTTTTTTCATTATAGTAGACGCGTAAAAAATTATTTTATTTGATTTCAACGATGATTGTATTATAGACGACTGATGAAACTATTATAGCTATTGACAGTTTTCAAGGAGTAGAGTGTGGGCAAGTCACATCGACCGTTGGTATGTCATTGCAGTGTGCATGCGAGTGCGTACGCACAATATCGAATCTAAGTGGAGAGTATACCGGTCGTGAGTGGATAGGGTGAGTTGTGAGTAGGTAGTGGGAATGCAGGAATTTTGGTTTTGGTTTTCGGCTTATAACGGGTGCGATGTATACTAACATATTAAGTATAATATTATTCTCGCTGTTAAAATATATAGGTATATTACGGTTATACGGATGATAGAAAGTATAGCGTTCCTGTTTTTACATAATAATATACAGAATTTGTTTTTTTATGCCTATAGTAATATTTATATATTGCATTGTCATATTATAATTTATAATAATATAATTATTGCGCAAAGCAATTGACGTTTAGATTAATATTATAAAATTTAGGATTAATAATAATATGATATCAGAAGGTTTGTCGAGTACGAGAACAATTATAATTTTAAAACCATAATATTATTCGGTATTCGAAAACAATAAGATCGAACAACATGGACGCACAAAAATATACAATATATAAGCGCATTAATATAATGATATAATACTAGGTAGTGTTATGGAATTAACTTGAAAAAAAATTGAATAATGATGCGCACCTTGTGCAATGCGTTCAAAACAACAGAAATTTGAAATTCGTCCGACGAATACTTACCACGCGTTTTCCTCGTCAACGAAAGCACCAACCACGTGTACGCGTCACTGTTTGAGCAGAAAACCAATAATAGAACGCGTCTCGACAGCACTCAGACGCAGCGAGTCTACTCCTCTGTAATACCCATTTGCGTGTATCACAACAACCCGGAATGTCGGTGCCTCTGTGGGGGTGATCTGCAGAGAGCGCGCCCGTCGCGAGTGATGGAGAAAAGGCCGAGGGGTGTGGGTGGCCGGTCGTTCGTGGGTCTAGGGTGTTGGGTGGGGGGTGGACGTTGCGGAGGTGGCGCTCTCTCACTTTCGGTTTGCGTGGGCACGGGGTGTGTCTGTCGGCGGGGTGGTGGCGCCCACGCACAACTGTTGGATTCGCGGGACCGGGAAAATCGATAGCGGGAGGTTACGTACTAACGTCGCTACATCAGCGGGGCCGCCACTGATGGACGGAGCATGTTGCGTCTTCTCTTCACACGGACAGGCTCATGCGGTAGCGGCGGCGGCGGCGGCGGCGTTGGTGGTGGTGGTGGTGGTCGACGAGTTGAGTGGGGACCGCCGGCGCGCGCGGTGGGTGTACCGAGGAAACAATTACACAGACACACACTCGCAAACATACGCGCGCGCGCGAGAGAGAGGTTTCCATAGTCCTCGCCCGTACACCGGTCGTCGCGGTTCAGGTGCGTTGGCCCCGAGAGTTGTAGTGCAGCAGCTGGAGTGCGCGCCAAAACATAACGAAAAGTTATTATTTTACACCTGCACAACACAGCGGTTCGTACAGAGTAGGTTTTAAAATAATTATTGTCACGGTGCCGTTTCGTCGTGACCTCCGTTTTTATATAGCACCACGACATCATAGCAAACCGTCACCATAAAATTATTATCAAATACACTTCGAATAATAATACTATTATAATTAGCAGCGTCGCGTAGGGCGACACGCACGCCGTTTACAGCGTCCGTCTTGGCGGCGGTGATGTGGTGTGATAAAGGTGATTGCCGTGCGCACATGACGATTCGCTCGGTCACCGTCTCGTAGGCGAGCGGCGGATCAGTTGCAAGGCGGTCAGTACAGGAATCGCGCGTTCCGTCGTCCGCAGTCGTCCGCGGACAACCGGTCTTCGCGGCTGTGTTTTACGCTTGCAGTGACGCCCGTGCGCCAACGCCACTGTCGCAGCATGTCGTCGGTCGCGTACTCGAGGTCTTTGGTCTCGCTGGTTGTGGTCGTAGTCGTCGCCACCATATGGCCGTCAGCCGAGTCGTACAGCGTGGACAAGTACTCGCTGCTCATGCCCAACGTGCGGCCCAAAAAGGTGAGTACCTGGTGCACGCATACGACAGTGCCGAGTGAGCATTTACGATTGATACGATTTTAGCAAAAACGATCATAAATTAATACTATTAAAAGAAACAATTTCAACATAAAAATAAATTAATACACAATGCAATAGGTACCTACTGATAAAAAAAAAAAAAACATAATTCATGAATTAGGAAAAAATAACGTAAAATTGACAAAATACAATTCCTAAATCGATCTCTCGAAACATATACAACATCCGTACACACAGAGTTAGCCAGAGATAAGGTTAAAAAAAGTGGAGAAAAGTTCCAGCTGCTAAATTAGTTTTACAATATATAATATGTTTAAGGTAGTAAATTAACATTAGATATATAATTTTTAATTTTAATACATAAATATATGTTTACGAATTACGAGACAAACCTCTAAAATACATAATAATAATGTATTGATATGACGCATTGCACACAATCGACACGGTCATAATGCAGTTACGACAGTTGACGAAAATAAGACGCCTTCCCGGACGCCTTTAAATGCAAGACTTGACCTTAAATATTGTACAACCTGTAACCTGTTGTAGAATTATAATGATCTAACATGTATCCATAACACAAATTAATAACATCAATGTGTGTGATACTGTTAAGTATGGATGTAGGACTGTTTTCTGGCGATGGATCTATATAATATATTATATTTATGACGTTCCGTTTTCGATGTACTTGGATTACACATTTTTTGAGAACCACACTCGGATATTCTCTAGGAGAATGAAATACATTATGTGCCACTTAAAAGGTAATCGGTAAAAAACCACAAGGAAAAAAGGTCAAGGGTGAAAAATGACAAGATTTTAATTTTAAAAGTATATTCAAGAACAACAGTATAGTTGTAATTAATTTCAGCATATTTGTATTATATTATATAACCAAATATTATATTGATTTTTTCAAATTGGTTTTATACTTTTATTGCCAATAACAGCAGCAGCATGCATAAGATTATTATTTTCACTTTATTGTGAAAAAACCTGATATTTGTGATTTTCAAGTAAAAGAATATTTGAATGGTGATAGAGATGCAACAAATTTTTGAACAGCTGTAGTAATGTAGTATTTACTATACAATATTTGTGTTTCATTATTATTTTTCACCAATTTATATTTTTGATATTTCAATAATTTAATTTGATAATTTGATAATTGACTGAAAAACATATATATTTTGCGGTTTTTATGTAAAATACATTTGTCGTGTTTTTCGGTTTGGTTTTTTTCCCAAGATTCACTTAGAACATGTTGTACCGCGCTACTCGTTATAATTATTGCAGGATCACTGCTGCACTATATAATTTGTATGCAAAGAGAAATAGCGTGGGTGCTGGTGCCGTGGGTCTTAAGGGGGATGATGTGGGGAGCTCCCTTCGCTCTGTATTACACCGCAAATTTATTTTATTCGTCTGGGTCACAATATTATTATATAACAACAAAGTCGATGTGAGTAACTTTCAATTTGTAGCGTACTCATAACTCGTAAGCCATAAGTTATAAAATAGGCGAAGGCGTTGCATTTGCATTAGAATAAAACCAGTTGCGTCGTGTTTTGTTTTTGTAGCATTTCACAGAACCGTCGAATTATTTTGCGGTCAACTTTGTACCTACCTAATTATTTTTCACCGTTGTACGTCAATTATAATGGGACGACGACTTCTAAACTATGGACAGTCACGCGGTTCCATGGAGGTGGGGGGACCTGCATTGTAGGCGCTCCGGGTGTACGCGTGACACGCCGCACGCAGTCTGACCATCGCTTCGCACACTTCCATTGCCATTCATAATATATATCATAATATTATACAATTCATGTAAAATATATATTTTACCGAGTGTAACAGGAACTGACGAAAAAAAAATTGAAGAAATTGAAACCAGTTAAACGTATGATAAAAATTATATGGATAGCAAATGATTTAAGAAATTATGTTTGTACTTATTATGTGGCCAAGAAATGTAGAAAAAGGATATATTGGATTAAAAACTACTACTTTTCAAATTATTAATTTACTTCAAATAAATATTAAAATTTAAAAAAATTGTGAAGATTTAATTATTTTACTCGAATAAACGTTTTTACCATCGAATTTTGTCTAAAAATTAGATTTACAAATTGGCTATTTTTAATTTTTCCGAAAAAAATGTAATTAAATCTTTTATTTTCGACATTCGTGAGATTAATGAAAATACAATTTAGAAAGATCAACATTTTCAGAAAAACAAACTCTAAAAAACGGCAATATAATTTCTTTTTGAAAATAATTAATTAAAAAAATTGTTATCATACCAAAACTTAAAATCAAATTTAAACTTGAAAATATATTAACAAAGAGTCTTTGTCCCTATGAGTGTTATAAATTATAAGACTCATAATAAAGTTATCATCAAAACAGAATTACGATATCTCCATGACTCTATAATTTCAGGAGATATCGCAATAGATAAATCTTCACGATGAGTCACTGGACACCCTGTATATTATATATATTATAGATACATAAACACAATGCGTTTCGGTACGAATATATTTTTATATTATACAATACAATAGGTATAGGTACTATTACTATTATATATAGCTGATGCGTGTGACCGGGAACCTGTACGATTCAGCTGTAGTGTGTCTAGGTTAATTTAGTACGACCAATCTCATCCGTATTTTAGCGGTGACTCGTATATTCGACATAAATTTATAAATTAATAATATTACTTCACTATATTATATTGTCACATTTGATACTATTTTATTGCATTAAAATACGATTCTAAATTAGATAGGTATATTTAGAATAAAGTATTTAAAATGTACCTAATTGAAATCAAACGATCGATTTGCGACTTTTTTTTATTATTATTTAGAGAAATGGCTTCAACAACTTGGGTTATTTGTCTGACATTAACATTTTACATGGTATTTTTCTTAAGATTAGTTGTTACTGTTACATAATATTTAAAAGTTTTATAAGTCACAATTTTTTTATGATATTTGTGGTATTTAAAAATGCCATTGTTTTTGGATTTGTGATTTTATATTATTAAAAATACTAAAAATGTCCTAGTTATTAGTCTAAGCTTGATATTGATATTCTAGTACAAAGTAAACAACAAAAAATATCATATTAAATTTTAAAAGTGTAATTTAAATATTAAGATTATTTTACTTTCATAAATATCAAATATAGAAATATACATTAAAAACAATTTGACTTCTAATTTGGTTTTAGAATAAATGGTGGTACGCGTATTGATTATAAAAGTGTCTGGTGGCACTCAGTGATAAAATGGTTGGGAACCCCTGGCCTAAGATAACCCTATTTTTAGTCTGTTTACTTTGTCTCGACTCAATTTAACAAATTATTAACGTACCTACCAAATTATACACCAATTTGGGTCCGAAATGCTCATTTACAAGTCACCATATAGTCAAACCGTCGTCGGTATAGTAACCTATTTGAGAGCATTTGATATCTTTTTCAAATTTATTAATTTGTATGTAAATTATTTTTCATTCAAGCTATTTAATTGTTGTGTTACCTAATCAAAATTTCACATAATAATTCTATAATACTGTGTTACGGTTTTAAATCTCTCACAAAAGTTACTTCGATCCAATAAACTTTTTATAATCCACGTCTACATCATACACACAGATACACTGTACGTCAGTACATGTTATATTTTATAAACAATTATGAATACCTATGCTAAGATATCGTTCAACTTCAAAATACATAATGATAGTAAAAATGATTTAAGACTTTTATTAACTTCGATATATGTTTTTGAGCTGGGGACAACTTTTTTTTTAACCGATTTTGGTGATGGTGCCTTGTTTATTGCCGTGGAAACACAAATCAACAAAAAAAATTAAGTTAAATTCCAAACAAAATTTAGCATGCTATTAGATACTTTCCCGCTGCACTACAACCAAAATATTGTTACGACTCCTACATTTTTTTTGCATGGGAAAAATATCTAGTAGCATGTTAGGTACTTACAATATATACGAACGACATTTTTATATTACCTATGTGTTGTACGACTAGTGACCACCTCTCGGACTCTCTGAGATAGTGAGATATATATCTTGTTAACCTACCTACGTTAAGTTTTAAATGTTGTGCTCTGATATCACATCAAAGATAATAATATACACAATTTCACAGTATTTATCAATCTAATAAAATATACGGTGGTCTGCGTGTCTGTATATATATATATATATATTGATAATTTGTATTATATTAAAGTTATTTACATTCTATAGGTATACAGTATAATTTATTAGTATAATACTATAATGAGCGACTTTGAAAGTTAATAATGGTTACTGGTTAGTGACAGGAGATTATCATTTATGGAAGCGCTACCCGATGTATATATTATATTATATTATTATTTACTGTCGTGAATTTACTGTTTACATGTAATGTATACATTATTTACCGATATCAGACGATTCGACGAACGGCAGTACGGCACTATATTGATCGTATTTCGTCAGACATGCATATTGCATACTTACATTATAATTTATAAATTGGTTATTGTTTTAAATATTTATGACATTTTACAACCCGTGGTATACATATATAGTCTGTGTTTGAGCAGAATAAGAAAACAAGATACATTTTTAATGTGCACAATAAAAATGGATAATGCTATACGTCTTGTGCAGAGGAGGAAGACCATCCGGTGATAGAATCAGCAACCCCTCGAGTTTGGCATAACAAGATATTGTTGTTTGTGTTTTTAAACACGTATGATATTATAAATTATAATATCAGTGCCGTTTCATTGGCGCCTCAGGGCAATATTATTCGACACCTCTATTAGGCATACATATTTATGCATTTTCCGCCCTTACAAATGTTACCACTTTTGCCCAGTCAAGGGCACTTGCCCTATTTCCTACCCCCTTGACACGGCTCTGCATAATATTGCAGAAAAGCACTCGAGTGACATTTAACTTCAAATAATATTGGATTCGATGGGTTAGTGTTTCGGTGTTTGCACTTTGCAGCCTGCGAATGATGACTTATCTTAAATATATTGTCCGCGGTACATTTTCGATTAAATCCCAAGAGTACTTCTCTAAACTTAACTTTTACTTAACCTACATGCATAATATATTATTGGTTTATTATATAAACTGTGTTTTTATAAGAAATTTCCATATTATTATAATATATGCACGCAAAGTCGCAAACGCTAAAATTCATATACGTATTATTACTTTATAATATTGCCATACCTATACCATAAACCTTACCTTTGTAGTTATATTATAATAATATTATATTATACTTAATGGTGGGTTAAGCTATTAAGATATATGCATATATTAAATTAAGTAGCAATAAAATATTATTATTTAAAAACTGAAATGGGTTAAGAAAATAATCATAGGGTAATAAGTAAAATTCAAAACAAATCATGCTATCATCACTAAGCTAAGTAACAGCATAAAAATATACATTTGTCAAATCTATAAGTTAAGATAATATTTACGTAATGCAATAATAATTAATATAATTTTACACACAGTCAATAAGTACTATATTTAAAAATACGTTAAATACTTAAATTTGGTGATGATATTTATGGGATATGTGAGGAAAGAAAAAGGGGTTTAGGTGTGGCGATGTTCGCGTGACACGATAACTACATTAAACTCCGTTTTAAGTGCTCCTTACATTATATTTTGTTCGTTTATTTGTGTACGTCTGAATTCTTCGGCGTATATGACACTGCTAATGTAACCGGATAAATTAGTGAATATTATACTCAATTTATCAATAATTTACTCTGACTGATTAATCAAACTATGTAAATTAAATTTTTTCTATACACGAATAATGGATCACTATGGATCACTCAACCAGCTGCTGTAGTCGGACACTGCAATAGTAAAAGTAAAAACAATTATCAACTGTAAACGTCAATACTTTCGCTTTTATCATCACCATAAAAGTTCAGAAAGTTTATTTTGCGTCCTCTGGGACTCAATAAATATCAAACTAAACTGTAGCGACAGTCAAACGATTTCAAATTGCTCTGCAGTTATATTATCTCAGTGAAAATCGAAAAAACAGCAAAATAACAACGATAAATTTAATTTAATGCCAGCTTCATTTTAACCGAATGTTGACCTTTTTTGTCCAAATCACGTTTAAAACTCTTTTCCAGATGAAATACGAGTGTATAGAGTGAACCAATATTTGCAGTACCTATTTTTAAAATGAGGTTTTACAGTGTTATTTACCTCATTATTACTATTCTTTGTCGATTTTTTTTATAACATATTATTGTAAATTGACGTTTACCACTACTATTGAATATTGAATTCGTTTTCAAATAAGTATTTGAAAAAAACGAACCTCTCTTGAAAAATATAATTTCAAGTAACGTTATAAAGATGTACGATTACTACGATATATTATACTTGAAGTGTTAGTATTTCGTCGTACCGGGCGTGACGACTGATCGTCGAATGTCACAGATTCTTGAATATAGATTGTTTGACTAATTTCGCGTCCAATATACTTCAAGACCAGAACATAACGGGACTACCTATTCGAGTTTTTTTATTGTTATCTTGGTGCACCAGTTCAGGGAATATTTGTTTCCGTGAAACTTAGTGCAGTAACTGATAGATTTGTTTAACTTTATAAATATAAAATATGTTAAAATTGAGAAACGAAACCTATAATATTATATTCAGCGATATATATTTATGTTCTGTATTTAATAAAAAGCTGAAATAATAAATTACAGTAAACGAGAAAACATTGTTTTTATGATTCCTTACATGTTACCTTGTTATATACCCCCATGATGTATGGACGTATAGGTATAATGTACTATATTATATTGTACATATTGTTTTTTTTACTTAGGTGAACTAAACCCTCATAATATTGTATTAACAAGTAGGTAGACGGCAAAAAAATTATTCCCTAATAATATCATGTAAAAAATGAGTAGAACTTGATGTAGGTACACTAATAATTATTTCGGTTATATTATGTTGAATTTTTAAACTTAATAACTTTAAATATAATTCAGATAAAATAATTATAGTAACTAGAATTTATTCTTCTGTATATAAAAACAATATTAATTTATTTTCAATTATTGGAGCTAAGCAAAATATTATAATATGTATTTATTTAGGCAATATAATATAAATAGGTAGGTATATAATAAAAGGTTAACAATTAACAATAAATTAATTTGTTAGTTTAAAATCATATCTATGAGAGTATATTATGACGTTCACTGACGTTGCTATTTTAGCAAGGTTTATTTTTAGTATCTCTGCAGTAATTGTTCTATAACACTGATTTATTAATTTTGTAAATGTTGTTGGTATTATTGTATATGTTACAGTTAAAGTGTTGAATCAGTTAGTTTATGAAATAACTAGGTAATTTATGAAACAACTAAAGCTTGTAGGTCATGTATATAATTTATACTTAAACTAGTTATTTTATACATTCCCTGACATCACTTCGTTAATGTGTCAAATTGTAAATAATAAAATATTTAAAAATATATTTTAAATTGTAATGTATTTTATGCTTTAACGGATATCAAACTGAAATTGTATAGAATAACTGGTTAAAGTACAATTTTCATGTATTATTTCATACTTTAACTAACATTCGTAAGTAATTCATGAACTACCTAGTTATTTCATAAAATAACGGAATTTAACACTTTAGCTGTAACATATACATTATTCTAGATTTAATAAATATGACAAACTAACAATTTTTTTTTTTTTTTAGATGGACTTGTATTTGTGCACTCCTATTAGGATAGACCCAAGCAAGTCTTACTTTATCGGTAAGTGTAACAATTTTAACAACACAATTATATAGTTATATTTAATATTTTAAATTTAATTTTACTTGTTCGCATGAATTGAAGTACCTACACCTATTTCTTTATTAGTTAATATCGGTATTATTAACCATTCTTCATTCGTGTATATCTGTAAACTACTATTATAGTATATAATATAGGTAGGTATGTCAGATGTCAATGTGTTATTGTACCTATGACACCCATACATAGGCACCTACGTAATATTTTATATGAATCTATTTCAGAAAGTATTGTTTGGTAACTTAAAAATTTCAAATTCGTTATTGTTTCACATACATGCTGCTGTACAATGAATTTTATTAATTTTTTTCAGTCGGTTTCGAGCCAAAAGCACACGGTCATACATCACACCATATGTTACTTTATGGGTGTTCAGAGCCCGGAAGCGAAGATCCCGTTTGGTAAACAACGTCCTCCGAGCTTGTTTTAAATTGCTGTTATCAATAATAATTGTTCATTTTTAAGGAATTGTGGAGAAATGCAAATGGCATCAAATAAACATAAGACGTACATGCATTCAAACCCATGCAAATCAGGATCTAATGTTCGTGTTCATTATTTTAGGTGAATTTTTTCGTATGTACTTAACAATGAAACAATTTATAATTTTCTCAGATAATGTACGCTTGGGCTCGTGATGCGCCAACTTTGAAACTTCCAAATGGAGTTGGGTTTAAAGTCGGTGGTGATTCGCAGATCAACTATTTAGTTTTACAGGTTCACTACCACAGGATGTTTGAAGGTTAGTACTATAAATTTATAAATATGACTATTGACTACTTACAGAACAGAATTGTTATCATATTTCAAATTATTTTATATATTACTCGACTATAGTTGAGTATGAGTCTGACTGCGAGAGAGAGGAGGAGGAGAGGTGATGAAGGTGTCATCTTCCCTCTTGGATCATTTTTTAAATATATAGAATAAAGCAATGAAGGCATATTTACCACTAAATCTGAGATTAGTCAAAAATTAATATCCCCCTCCCCCTCTAACAAAAAAGCTGAGCACTCTACTGATGAGTTCACAATTTTTCCTAAATGTTTGAAATCTCAGACATTAGGACCGAAATATGACTGTAATGATACGTCAGTCGTGTTACTATAACTAATTTTTGTGTACAATTTATTTACTTTACAGATGACGAAACGGATAACTCTGGGATATATCTGCATTACACGGAACAACAGTAAGATAATATAATATTTTCTTTTACGTCCATCTAAGTTTTTATAATCAATAGCCAATAGGTATAATGGCATGTAGGATACTGGATGACTATTGTATTTTTTCCCCTTTGAACCTATAAAATGCTATCTTAGCTAAAAATTTGTTTCCTGCTCCCTTGATTCGGAATAGCGAAATTGTTTTATCCCATATTTATGGAAAAAAAATTGAAAAAATAAAATGTCTATAAATAGTTCAAAAGACATTAATTTTGAAAATTATTCGATATACGAAAAATGCTAATATATATATTTGGTTGAAATTTCAAGTAGGTAAACCTGCCTATCCAGAGCGAGTTAATCGTTTTTGAATTACTTACAACAAAATAAAAATATCGATTTTGTCAAAAATTCCCGTTTGTTTTTGTTTTTCCCAAATATTTCGAGGACTACGAAATACGAATTTTCAATAGTGTTGGTCCCCGACAGTACCAATTATAACCAATTTGATACTAGAAACCACCTTTAAAGTTGAATATCGAAGCAATTTTTCTACTTTAAATCGTGTACATACATCATACCTACATATGGAAAAAACACACAATTGTAAAATCGCTATAGGTTTCTACAATATACGTTACCTAGGTATACAACTTATGAGTGATTAAGTACCAAGTAGGTACCACTTTGCATTTGGTGCTTATTGCTAAAGACTTATATCTATATGACTGTAAATAATACTAAATTACATTTACACTCATATACAACTAGTAATTACAATAAAGTATCTACTTAAGCTGTAAGAACCTACCCCCCTCTTCTTTTTAATTATTTTTTTTAAGTGCTACTAATGGCTAATACCTAAATTTTGTTCCTACAGGTTAGATAAACAAGCTGGAGTATACCTACTGGCTACAAACGGACGAGTTCCACCGAATGCGATCGAACACATGGAAACATCGTGTCCTCTCTTCGAGATTGGGAAAGTCATACATCCGTTTGCGTATAGGGTCCACACCCACGAACTTGGTATGTGTTGCACGACGTGTGCTTGGTACACATTTTATTTTGATGTTGAAAATATAAACTTATATGTTTACATCACAACAATAATTGTCGACTTTTTGCTTTCAATAGGTAAAGTTGTAAGCGGTTACAGAGTAAAGAATATTAACAAAGAAGTACAAAAATGGGATCTGCTTGGAAAAAGAGATCCTATGACTCCACAAATGTTTTACCCAATAGAGAACAATATTACCGTCGAGTCTGGTGATATACTGGTTAGTAATCTTCTAGTGTCGATTTCCTATCTATGTAGTTTACGATTTGTTATGCCTAACCGCCATGGGGTGTCTATATAATTGATACGATCAAATAATACAATTTCGAATAATTTTACAAACTTACACCGGGCTGCATGTACAATTACTATGTCTTACCAATCAATAGTGAGCTATTAATGGTCCCATAGACGTGATTTATTCATTCAATCAATCGATTTTTCTTTCAACCCGGCAAAAGTATTGTCATTTTTTAGTAGCATAAAACATATTAGTTTACGCATACTCTTTGTTTTATTAAAAATCTGAAAAAGAATAAACGATTACTTATATAGGTGTATATAAACCTGACCTATATAGGTAATCGTATATTAGTTTTGTAAATGTTTTACCTAGAATTTCGTATCGTCAGAGGATTTAAATTTTATAATATCACACCACATTACCACAGCGCAAGAACCGTTTGATACCAATTACCGCTAAGCGCTATAATAGCACTACACAGTCCTACTCTATTATATATATATAATATATATAAATGCTTTAAACAGTTTAAACTTCGGTACATCATATAATATTGTATTGTCTATAGGCTGCCAGGTGCACAATGGAGAGCAGGCGAAACACCGTTACAAGAATCGGGTAAGACGATCGACACGACTCATTAAATAATATAATATTATCCAAGTCACTGTGGTTAATCTTCCTCCGATGGTGGTTTTGCATTTAATTCGTTCACAGCGCGACGAGCGACGACGAAATGTGCAATTTTTACGTGATGTACTGGGTGGAGGGGACCGAACCTCTGGAACAACAGCTCTGCGTGTCGGAAGGACCTCCACGGTATTATTGGGACACGGATCCGTATCTGACGAACATACCGGATGAAGAAGCGTCGATCTTATAAATGAAAAAAAAACAAAAGACACTAGTGAACAAAATGTTTGTGTGTATTATTGATTCTATTTTTTTTTTTTTTGGTTGTCAGACGTCTCGTAGTATTCTATATTTTATGAGTATCTAACCCTCCCCCCTCCATTCGACATACCTACATGTCCTTAATGACAATGATAATACCAATATTCCTTTTTTTTTTTTAAATAATTTATTGTTGTTTGTCATAATTATTATTATTATTTTACGATTGAGTTACCTATTATATTATAATATTATATATTAAATTATATACAGTATCGACCAAAGATGGGATAATCAGTATTAATGTTTTGAATATTAATTGTGGTGCCGCAGTACCTATGGCACAAAGGGTGTCTTGAATAAATAATTATGAATATTGACCATGCTATTGAGTATATCTACTGCTTAATGTTTATTATTAAAACACTCTAATTTTATCCAGTCAATTTTTTAAGTTTAATTAAATTATTTTAGTATTTTATTATTATACAGATAAATGAAGTACCTTTACTATAAAGATTAAACATACACGAATTACACTAAAGCGAATGATACCTAATTTTAAAATCAATCATAATATTATGTTTTATTTTACACAATATACAAAACTTGAGTTCAAAACGTATCAACTCAATAGGTACTATTAATCAAAAATATCTACGTAGACGTTTCTCCGTCCACTTAACTAAAAAATTAATTTTCATAACCTATTCAGAATGTTTTTTAAAAAAGATTTTAAATAAATAAATTATATTAAAATTACAAATAGTTTATTCATAAAACAGAACGACTAATACTCTATCCCTATGCTTGTTTACTAAACCTATTGAAGATGGACAAGTATAAAATATGCATTATTTAATGAGTTCATAAATTCTAACCTTAAAATATGCATATAAAAAATCATACAATAATTACCTATACATTTCTGAAGAATATTTAGGATCTGATAAACAAAAACCAATTTTGTATTCAGTTTTATTTTTTAGTAAAACTGTTTAGGGATAGGTTCACATGGAGTAAAGGTTTTTTTATTCAAGTATTTGCTTGTTAAGTTAATAAAACCTAAATGAATCAAATTAAGTAAAAATTAAATTTACTGAAGCTACTCATTCTACTATTCGACCAGCCCAATTTTTAATTATGTATCTATCTAAAACTTACTTTTATTTGCACTTAATAGTTTATAAATATTTGGAATGTGATGAATGATTATAACGTAAGGGTTGCAATGGACTGACACTGTAAGTAATCAATTATTAATTTTACAAAAATAAAAATAATAATAACTTCAACAATATTAGAGTTAGGTAAAACAAAATATTTTTTTATTATAACTATTTCAATGTTCCTTTACATACATATTATTATTATTATTATTATTATTATCAAATTATTATTAATAATAATAAATAATAAAAATAAAAACTAGAACATTATAAATATTTATCTGAATAATTAAATAATAAATAACAAATCTAAAACTTATTATTTTAAATTATATCATAGAATAATATACTTACCTATAAAAATAGTACATACCTAAATGGTTTTATATACCTATTTATCTATTAGTAATATTTCAACTGATTTTTATTCTCAACAATATTGTGGTTTAATTTAATAAATTGTCATAGTATAGTAAATAATTACTTATTAAAAAAGTTAATGTATCGCTATGTGTCTACATATTGTGTATCAAATCTTTCTTGTCACACAGTGGTTAAGTTTAACTTCTAAAAAGTGTTATAAGTTATAACCACATTGTTTTAAATTAGAAATTTATTTTTAATTAAAAAATGTAATAATTATTTATTGATTAGTACAGGCGCGCACCCAGAATTTTTGCTTGGGAGGGGGGGGGGCTTAATAATTTTTCTTTTTCCCTTACACACAAGTGAACAATTAAAACTCATTTTTAAATAACCACTTTTGTTTATTATTATCATATGTTATATTATTATGTATTTAATATTTATATAATTATATTTATAACTAAATATTATGACAAATGAATTTAAAATTTAAGTTTCCTGGGTCCCTTTTCAGAAAGAATTGTTAATACTTTGGATTCTTTAATTTGTATTTCTCGATGTATGTAGAGATTTGCCAGACCATTTAAACGTGACTGTCCTATTGTGTTCCGGAGATAGGTTTTAATTTGCCGTAGTGTGGAACACGACCTCCTAGCCATACTTGTACTTACTGGTAACATTGCAAATATTTTCAAAAGTATAAATACTGATTCAAATATTTTAATATCACATAAATTTAAACCATCAATTGCGTTTAGCGGTAAAGTATAACCACAGTTTTTTAATTTTTCATACCACAATTCGAATTCAGCCTATAAGTCAAAAAGATTTTTAAAGCTTGAAATTTGTTCATCTGTTGGATTACGTCCGGTTGGTAAAATACATTTATAACTTATTAGGAGATTTTTATGTTTTAAAAATCGATCAGAAGGACTACCTATTAAGAAATGAATCGACCCATGGAATATAAAATTGAACGTTTATAGTATTCTTCAATATTTTCAGATGGTGTATTACATCGCTTAGTTTGTTGTTTTGTGAAATTAAAATAAAACATTATCATTTATCATTGTTATACTATATTTTCTATAATAATGTGTAATTTAATGAAAATTTTTTTTTTTTGGGGGGGGGAGGGATTAAGCCCCAAAGCCCCCTTCCCCCTTGGGTGCGCCACTGGATTAGTATGTTAAAATTTAAAAGGATTATAATATAATAAATATTAAACTACTTACCCATGTAATAATATTATTTTAAATATAGTATTATAATCAGTGCCGACATTATGATTCAGGGAGCCCTTGCCCCCAATCCCAATAAAAAAGTGAAAAACCCTATGTGGTCGCATTTCAAGCACACCCCTTGATCACAATATTGTACAATTTATACTTAAGTTATCTAATCAAAATAAAATTTTAAGGGTAGCTATATATTAACTTGATACATAAATAACTTTAATATCTAATCCTCATCTTACCGATGTTAGTATGATTTATGTAATCATACAACAATTTACTATAACTAAATATTTATCATAATTCATACTTTAAAAAAATAATAGCAACAGAGTGCAAAGTAGAGGACCTATAATACTATGTAAAAATATTTTAGAAAATAGTAAATACTTATTATTTAATTTCATATAATTGCAATTATCATATAATTATATGGTACACAAATTATAGACTTCAAGACTTAAATACTAATATTATATATAAACATATTACCAACTATTTTTGTTTCTGATTATATTCATAATATGTTCTTGCCAAAAATTTTAAATAAGTACCTAAACTAGAAATTGTATTGTATTATTATTTAAGTTTTCACAAAAAATATTATTTATTACTTTTAAACACATATTTTCTATTGAAAAATGTATAGTTAATAATATTTAAAATAAGGGGTGCTATACATACATATATTACAACAGAGCTAACTATTATTTTATTGCATTGTTTCCTAGTTTATATATGTTTATTTTCAAAAGAATTAAAAAATTTTATGTTAATTATAATAAGTTATTATATGTATTGCACCCAGCTTAAGGGTTTGCCAAACATAGGGTGGCTTCTGTTGCACAAGTATCATAAAAACATGTTATTCATTTTTCTTCTTATATCATTAAAATTATACTTAACTACTTTAGTATCAACATAGATGAATATATCTACATAAGAACAAAGTTATTATACTGTACTATACTTATATTTCTATAGATTAGAATTAAAATAAATATTAATAATACTAATCTTATTAAGTACCATCCACCTACTTAATGTCAACATTTAATCAGTTTATATTATTATTATAATACAATGTATTGTTATTAAAATATTTAAATCTGTGAATAATTTGAATTTAAATTTAATCAGACTTTCAAGAATTAACAGTGAAGTGGTATTTTTATCCAACTAAAAAAAATTTTAATTGAAATACAAAGTATCAGTACAGAATATTCCATTCCATGGTATAGGTATCATATAATAAACATATTTGTGGGAGAATAATTATTAATTAAAATTGCTAGTTTATATTTAAATTGATTGCTTATGCATATCCCATTTACAAATAAATTAGGAAAACATACAAGTCAGGATGTGTGCTTATAGAATAATGGTACATATTCACAAGCCGGACAAAAAAAATAATAATCAAATTGTTTAGAAAATTCATGTTTGCTTAATTTAACAGAGAAGCATCTTAATTTAAATAATAAAATATTTGCTGACCACATAAAATTAATTGTTCAATAATATTTTTTTATTTAATACTTCAAATTGCACTTAACGATTATAATGATTAGTTAAGTATAAAATATTAAAATTAAAATATGATAACAAAAGTATTAAATACCCTGTTCAAGTACATCGAAAGTCACAACATTGTACACACTATACAAGCACAGCACTTAAGTATATTATTAACTTTGATTCGGAACTATCATAATAATATATTACATACATTTAAAATATTATCTGCAGTTAATATTTATTATTTATTTTTTGTGTATAAGTCACAAAAGCACCATAATAAAAATACACAATATTGGCCAATATCCAATTAAGTACCAATATAAGTATTTATTATTCATATGCAAATCATATACCTAGTAAAAACTATGTGTAAATATCTGTCGCACTTATAAAATGCACTGGAATAGTGAAATTTGCATTGACAGTTTATGTCAAATGTTTGACTAATAAGCTTTTAGATTAATAAGGTTATAATTAATAAAAATTTTCATTTAAGCAAAAATTATATAATTTTATTTCGTAATCAGTGTATTGAAATTTTTATACCTCAGTAAAATATGTATTCAAGAATGTTATTGTTATGTGAGTATGGACATTTAATCAAGAAGAATTAAAATGTTTGAAATAAAAACTTATAAAAATCATCAAAAATTATTATATCACAACCATTATAGCAAAAAAAAAAAATTATTATAAAGCTCAACATTTTGAAAAAACCTATATAGAGAATGAACTACATGTATCTCGTTGTATAGCACAATTACAGTAACCTATAACTTTTAAGGCTTCAAATGGATGTACGCGGAAAAAAAAATACTTAATTTCAAAAATACACTTTTATCCAGTTTTGACAAAATACTAATGAAAAGTACTAAGACCATAAGAAATAATCTAACCTAATAAACTCTTCAGTGAATTTGTTTTATATTTTTAATTCAATACAAACTTATATTTAAAATTGAATCATATAAGCTAGTTAACCATTTATCCTAAATGTTGTATTTATAAATCATTTTTTTTGGATAGGGATATACAGTATAAACAATATAAGATCTAAAAAAATTAGAAATTATAATTTTTTATACACATATTGTTATGTTAAGTTTTATAATGTTATTTATATAATTATTTAAAATTATAATAAAAAAAAATAGTAGAATTAGAAGAAAACAACAAATATATTATTTAATAAACTACACGGAAAATTAGTGTAACACAAACAATACAAGTTATAATATAATTAATGAATTGCAAACACCCCTCTCCCCACGGGGCTGTTTTTGGTGTAGTAGGACATCTTTCCCCGATGCATTTTTTGATGTGGACATTTTCCCTTCACTTTTTTAAAAAGTGTGCTATTTATGATTTAATCACATTACACATAATATATTATATAATATTTAATATGAAATAATTGTTTTTTGCCTATTGTCTAATTTTGCCAAAGTACTGGATAAATTTCTAAATATTTTCACAAATATAATAAAATATAGATAAATATTTTAGATCATTGTCTATATACTTTAACAATACGAATAGCTATTAAAAAAAAAAATAATAATAACAAGTAATGGTATGTATTATAATACATAATATCTATTTGGCACAGTAAAAAGTAATGTTTAAAAAAATATTAAGTAAATATATAATTTTAAATAGATATAATAGCTAAAAGATTTTCTAAATAAAATATAACTAAAAATTAATAAAAATATTTGGATTTCTGTCTTTAAATAAAATTTACATAAGACAATAAAAATCATTGCATATTTTTAATAATAACCTTTTAAAAATAGGTATGGGGGAAAATGTCCATTTACCATGGTTAATAAGTAGTGAAAAAGTAATAGCAAATTATAATTGTAATGTTCAACACAATGTAGTTTTATTTGTAATTTGTATAGTATACTTAGTTTATAATTATTATATTATATTATACACATGTTATATAGAATTTTTCCATTAAGGTCACAACAAATACAAATTAACAATAAAAAAGTATAAAGTTTAATTTAAATATCACAAAATTCTCTTAAAATAAGTTCATAACTTTTAATAAAATATTGTTTACCTTCATTGTAAATAAAAAAAAGTGATGGTTTTCGATATTTAACAAGCAGCAGGTTTTGATTCCTAAAAAGAAATAGTTATATTATAATTTATAGAGCTAAACTACAATACCTAAGTTATCATCTAAATATTTTATTTTAAAAATGATAAAAATTACGATTATAATTAGGTGAATATTATATATTTTAAAGAACTTACAGGAGGAAAATAACTGCAAGCGACACCCCAAAAATCTTTCAAGACAGAAGCTTGTCTGGGTTGTTCCTAATGGTAAATAACAAAAATCTTTATTGTCAGCTAACAAAATTGCTTAAGAAAATAATAATATAATTACATGGTTAATCAAAATAGTTGGGATAAAAGAAACTTGGGGCCATAGTTTGTCTGTTGCTTCACCGTTTTTTTTTAATAATAGTTCACCTTCTTTCCCTTCTGAACAAGCATAAATTTTATTCCAGTTAACATTGTATTTTTTGGCACACTAAAAAAGACATTTTTTTACATTTTATTTTTATTTTTTTATCAAACATTTACATTTAGTTAAGTTTAGTATAACTTTTACTTACAAACATTCCAATCATTTCTGGATCATAGTTATTATCAATCATGCATGATACATATTTGACCAAAACATTTTTATCTTTTATATGTTGAGTAGCACACGAATGAATTTTATTTGCCTGGCATTCTATTGGTCCGTGTTGACAAGCAAATGTTATTGAGCCATCAGCATTTTCATGTGTCTAAATAATAAATATACAATCAAACTCTATTATATTATTATAACACAATTAATTTATATTAAGCTATTTTACACCACAGTATTATATTTTTATTATTAATGTATAGGGTTTAGGCTCTTGAAAGCAAATATGTTTTATTTAGTATATAAATGCGAATGGATAAACATAATTTTTACAATTTTTTTTTTTTTTGATATTTTGTGTTAAATTATCAATTTAACACAATTATTTTGTACTTAAGCACAGTGCAAATAAATAACAATTCGTAAAGATTGTTGAACATGTTTAAAATAACCGATAATGACTAAAAACTGAGAAGTATGCTTTATTATTGCTGGTGGAAAATGGTATCGATGAAGTACTTGTCAGAATTAATTTATTAATTAAAAGTTTATCAAAGTGCCTATACTATCTATAGAAACAACTGTGTTCGAGATAGGTTGATTTTACATCAGTACATTGTAGGTCATCATTCATATTTTGTTGAATATTATTTTATGTAATAAACAACAACACTTAACAAAAAAATACTGTATCTTTGTTGGTTTTTCACATTTTAAGTGTTTTTAACAATTTATATTGTCACTAAATACAAACTCTATTAATGAATTACTATTCAATGATTACCTTGGCTTTTCCATAAGGAACAAATTCAATATCAAAACTATTTGGTGCTTTATTAAAAGACGGAACTAAATGCTGAAGAATAAAATTTCTTGAATCTGGACACAATGCTTCATAGTATACACCAACTGGAAGATATGTCATATCTTTTACACTGTTAGCCATTAAAGAGTTGTCATGGTTCAGAACACGTGGAGAATGAATTAGTTTCTGAAAATTACACAGGTAGGTTTAATATTATCATATAATAACAAATACTTAGATAGTTATTAAAATATTAAAAGGTCCAACATTGTTTTAAGTTAAATGCAACTATAATAGTAGCAAAGTTGCAATTTAAACCGTTAGAGAACGTGAAGAATTGGTTGTGCTAACAGCAGAAAAAAATTAAACACTGACTGCGTATGTGCATATAAAAAGAAAATTATTAAAATAATATTTATTCATATTTATTAATTTTACCTGTTTATTACTGTTTGTTATGGCTCTGAATATCTGCCAAAAACTGAGTACAACAATAAATGCAATACAAAAGCGAAACTTATACGAAGAGAATACTTTCAGTATTCTCACATTGGTCAAATACATGGTGGAAGCCAGAAGGAATCGAGCAAATGTTAACTGGTCATTTCGTGCGTCTTAAGAATATATTATGTTTAATATCGTAATAATTGTGAAAATATTTGTCAACTAAATCGCATTGGTGGTCACGTTGCACTTTGACATGGTAGAAAACTATGTCTAAGTGTGATTCTTCGTCCAATGACGACTCGCATCGCTCAAGTAGGTAGTCGACATTCGACACTCGAGTCCAGGTGCAACGTAGACAAGTGTTTACCGTTAATGAAACTTATTCGGTGACTGAACGTCCCACGAAATAACGAATTTCCACTCCGGCACTTTAAAAACAATCTAATATTATGAATAATAATAATGTGTGTATTAAATCAGTTCTCTGTTATCTATACTCGTATTATTATTGTTATTATATTCACAGAAAACACAGATAACGCGGTCTATCACTATCTGCACCGCCACGCATCACACGACTAAAATACACGTCGAGTAGTACGAGAACACGACAGCCGTGACTCGTGGGTCGTAATCAGACCAAAAATGTGAGCGTACTCGGAGGTGCCACGGTGTCGGAGACCGACTACAATACTACATTCTATTGTGCACTTTTCATGGAAAACAAACAGTGCCGATTTCGTCTTTCGTTCTAATTTTCCGATCTCAAAATGTATTTTAAAGTTTTCCGTTTAAAATCGTATCCCGAAGGGGTCGACGAATTTCTCGACGTCTCGTCCATATTAAACCGCAAGTCGAATGTTATACACACGAATGGTTCACACGTATAGCCAGCAACCAGCCTTCTCGAGAGAAAAAAAATAACATTTTCGAAATTTTTTTGTCAATATTAAGCACGTCATTCGCATGAATTTGCGAACCGCGTTTTGAAATTTACACGACACTCCTTCACTCCCCAAAATAAATATTCCACCAACAGGGCCAGATTTAGACGAGACTTGTGGATATATTTGACTATAGTCTATAGTACATTTCCAAACAATAATCACGAGAACCCAATGAAAAACGTGAAAGAAAAGAATCCATACATATTGATGAAATGATGACATTTTATATTTTTGAAACTTTAATTCAAAAAAAAAATGACACAAATGTAATGTAGGTATCCTCATCCCCGTAAAAGATAAACGGTATGTACACAATAGTCAATAGGTAAATAAAAGGTTCTCAATATTTAATCTTAATTTTTGATAATAATTACTCGATATATTTTACTAAATACTATCTGAGAAATGACAATTAGAAATAATTATAGAATATTTTGCTCTCGTCACTGAAAATTCTAATAGGTAAACGGGGTCATACGACTGTATACCCTCGTATCTTGGTGCATATTTTAAAGAACCTACCCATAAACAGTAGTTTAATATAAAAATATAAAAAATAAACAATACAAATGAGTAAACGCCGTACACCTCTAATGCAGCATTTACAGCAACCCCTGTAGAATGTGTGGAAATATGTGTAGATTGTAATAATACAGTCATGATCATTGATCGTTTCAAATAATTATGGACTATAGATTAAAAAAAAAAAAAACTATTGGTGATACATAAATACTGATATGATGAGTATAGAGTATGTTAGTGTTTTCTTAAATTAATGAATAAATGGTATATTGGTACGTAGTATAAAATTTTAGTTACGAATTCAAATAAAAATTATATTGAATATAATTGTCATAGAGTGTATATTTCAAATAAACGTTTAAGATAAAAGGATGTAGGCTAGCCGTTTGCCGATTATAGCACGACAATTAATTATTTATTATTACATTTTAATCACCCCCCTCCCCCATGGCCCCATTCTATCGAGGCCGATTTTCAGATACGCTATTGCCCTTGGTTGCGCCAATGTTATGGCTTGCTCCAGTGCTCGCTGCTCAGCATCGTAATAGGTACTATACTTGCAATTTTGTATAAAATAATATGTAGGTTGTACTGTCTTATGTCTTGTACAATGTCGCATTTGTATGACTTATTATTATTTAACGAGGTAATGGATTTTCAGTTACAGATTTAAATTCTGAACGGAGCAACGAATATCGATTTAACAATTTTATGTAAAATTGAATTTGTTTTTTGTTGTAGCCTGTAGGTAATTCAAAAACTAATAACTGCTACGACTTGAAATTTTCATTAAAAACACCAGCATTTTCTAGATATGGGGTAATTTTCAAAATAGTTTTGCTCATTTTGTAATATTTATAGATATTTGAAATCTTCTTCATTTTTTAGTATTTTTTTTTTTTTTTGATTTAGTCATGCACGATACCATTTGTTCTTAATATCCAAAAAATAAGGAAACTTGATATATTTTTACTAATGCTTAGTTATTTCGGTTATATTAAATTTGTATATGTTTTTTTTGCTGTTATTTACAAATAGGTACCCATATCATTCCTCCCCCCAAAAAGGTCCTAGTTATACCGCTGAAAAACACTTTAAAGGAAAAAGAAAATAATTTTTTGACAAATATATATTATTATTTATTTCATTCAAATTTGTAAAAACAAATATTTTACAGAATAATAAAATCATATTTTTTGTTCGTATAGTAAGTGGGTCTCATTGTCTTTCATGAGATGACATGCTTCTCGCTACTGGAAATTATCATTCATCTTATCATATTTTAATGGTGTTGAATTAAATTATAGAATTATAAGTTATAACTTACAGTAGTATGGATTCCTACATGACTACTTACGATTTCCGATTTGCGACTTACGATCGAAGTAACGAATTAATCAAAAATTATTCGAATGCTGGTATCTACATATTGTTAAATTGTTGTTACATACGATTTTCTTAATAAATATTAAATACTAATAGAAAATCCAAATGAATACAATGTTAAATAAAAATATTTTTAATTTGTGTTTATTAAAATACTTCCATACTTACTTTATAGTATACTTTAACAAATGTACAAATTTAAATGCATATTTTTTTATTTTCTATTTAATAGGTAATATAAATTATAAAACTTAGACCGGAGGTTTTATTGCTTAATACAGCACGATCCTGTCTTACCTACTGTTCACGTGAATCCAACACTAGATACCTAAGACATACATAGGTAAGTAACTCAGTTCTATTATTACGGTTCTTCAATCTTCAAAGATATAAAATTGCTTAAACATTTACTGTTATAGTCTTTTGTATTTAAAATAACATTTAAATCATTTAACTTAAACAAATTTGTGTTTGTCAATGTTAATTTTAAATTATAATGATTCTAAGCTGAACATAATTATATTAACCTATTTATTCAGCTTACGATAGTTTTATATACTATGTATTTTATTATTTATTATTATACATCTAAATGCACTTTGTATTATAATGAAAGGGGATTTTTTCAAATATGCTCACCCCCAGTTTCCCTTTAATAGTACATCTATTCAAATTCTGAATTTTAGAATTTTGTAAGTATAGCTAAAGACCATATTTTAAAATTCCCGATATCTTTTGTACTATATACTTAAGAAGTATCCTGTGATGATACAAACTTCTTTTTACTGCGTATTATAATTATAATTTAATCATATAAATAAGGTGAGCTTGTTTAAAAAAATCACTCTGTATGTAAGTCGGTTATATATAACAGACAAATAAAGAACAAAAGCTAATCACTCTGCTTTCTACACAATTATTCAAATTCAATACAATATTTTCGATTCATCATTATGTCTTAGATAATTAGTCATAATATCTGCTAATCTATGACCTTTGACACATTCATTTTTTAAAGTTTTAATATAGCAATCATTTGTGCATAAAATATGATAAATATTTAATAACAAATCACAAACGAATTAATATCGAGCTTAAACTATTTCGGAAATCGCACTGCTTATGTAACCTATTATGTATTATCTAGAATTTAGAAATCAACAGACAACAATTGTGTTTTTCACGAATTATTTAGGATTTAAAGAATTATAACATCACTTTACACAACCTACTCAAAATGTATTTATTTATGTTTATTTTTAATTCTAATATTTCGCAAATGTATTGTGAATACACAATTTCGTTATTCTCGACGATATGCGTACCGTGACAACGAATACCTTAAACTTTGAGTTACAATTTGTAACATGTCATCATGGTTAGCATCCACATATTTATTATATTATTGCTAAAAAATATGACGATGTGCCTGCTTGTCTCCGGCGACTGTAATGACGATTATTATTATATTATAATATTAATATAACACTAATACAAATATGTACCTAGGTATATTATTCAACGATTGCAACATCACGCATCGCTGTCGGAGCCGGCGAGACTTGTCGGATAGCAGGTAACATCGCGTGGTACATGCGGCCCGCGCAGTCTCTTCGCAGACTTCGGCCCAAACGCACCGGGCGCGCTCTCCCGTCGCCGCCGCCGCCGCCGCCATCGCCGCAGCCGTCGTCGTCTTAACTACACGACGTTCGATCACACCTTAAACCTACTGTATACCGTAAGTACATATTGAAAATTCACACACACAAGATTTAATTTTAGAAAAAGTACATTTTCCGCGTTTTACGAGTATACCGACACAATGAAACTTGTGCCTCCCCTTGTATTATAGGTCCGTTATAATTTTTGACTTTCGCGAATATAGAGGGGATTTTTTCTGATAACGCGATGACGTCCATACAGGCAGGCAATCCTCCCGTGGCAAGGACTGGTTTTGTGTGTCCTTGAACTGCTGTAGGTAGCTATTATATTATAGCATAATAGTATTATATTATTACAAGCACCCGACCGCCCGAGCCGCAGTCTTTCACTTTTGCCACGACTAACTTACGACCGCCGACGTCCCACCGGATTGATAATAATAGTATACCACTTGCATTGCTTAACACCTCGTCAGTCTGGTGTAATCCAGGTCACCGACACGCACGTGGATGACATAACTTTTAGTCGTTTTTAGACCATGCACTTGGGCCACGCATACTGCATATAGTGGCCTGTATTTAGACTTTTGCAACCCGCCGGGCAAAGCAGAATATTGAGTCACCCAACTTATCAAAACATTTTTTTTTATGTAATATGCTAAAAATATAAATTTAAAAAACTCTAGGTACATATAATTTATTTTATTTCAATACTGACAAAAATTCGAAATTTAGCTTAGTGAGTTGAAATAGGTAATGAAATATACCCGACTACTTATAAAATTTGTCATCCCTTTTAAATCACCTCTATGGAAACATGAGATTGTTGAATCCTTCGAATTTGACCCTGAATAAATATACTTACCCAAACTGAATGAAGATGAAAATTACTACGCAGACAGCTCATCACCATTATTTGGTTGTCGACTTCTTGGCTGTATTTAGCTTGAGCGAATCATACTATGACTGCACACTACAGCAAGTATTTCAATAAATTGTGACGTGTACGTTCGATCGTGAATCCTGGACTTTTAGAATGCATACA